CTCTGCCGTCGCCAATGAGGCCGAGAGCTGGAAATCTTAATGAGGTGTCTCAGAGTTCAGCTGAGGGGACGGAGAGGTGGACGGGAGACAGGGGTGAGGAGACGGGAGAGAGTTCAGTATGTGCTGGCTAAGGGAGTTCAAAATCCTACTGTTCAGATTCAGATATGAGAAAATGTATGGAATGTAATACAGGTTAAAAATGCTAGGTTAAATAAAAATACACAAGTCTGTCACTGACGCTGAAGTAGTCAGAAATAAAACAAATTCATATAAGGATGAATACATTTGGTTTTTGTGTCATCATTTAAATTAAGGAATATTATGGTTAAGAAAGTAACCAAACGTTCTGCAAGAGCGTCAGGGGTGAACAGCGTCGTCCATCGGCAGGTGCACCGTGCTAGAGTGTACGTATGTATGATGTCAACGTTGTCACAAAGTGCTCTTTTTTTACTTCAAATGGCCACGGCCCAGTGTTAAAGTTAGACGTATTGGCCTTAGTTACAGGAACAGATTTAAATGAAAAAAACAACCAGTGAAACAGACTCAAACTGCATTTAGAGCCCCCCCTGCAGGGGAGGTGAAGGAAAAGCTATACATTCTGTGTTTACAAACACAAATATCCACATACAGATTCTTTGGGCCAAACAAGACAGAAAACGTACATTACTTATGTATGGAACAGAATTTACAAAAATGAAGTCAATGACCTCAGTTTTTGTTCAATGGAATGCCAGAAGAGAACGGAGATGATGTGAACTGATGTAAACCACAAATATCCTTGGGGCACAAATGTCAATGTAATTGTACATATTGATTGTCATTATTTATGATACATATCTAGCTAAGAAAAGAAAATATTTTCCACTAAAATCTAAGTCAGCCAGAATAAATGCCTGACATTTGACAGTTTGTGGAGGGTCACACGGGGAGAACTCCTCACACTCACGCTCTGTCAGTGAAATACATTCTTGTTCCTCCAGTGGTTGGTCTAAATGTTATGAATAAGTAAATAACAACTTTTTTCCAGCCGTTTAATCTCTGAGCACTGCAATTAGTAAGTCTGTAGTTTGTGCTACCTTTTTTCCTGCCCTTATTGTTGGTATTGAAATGTCATGCTCTTATTTAGCTCAAGGATGAATAATAAATAAGCTATAATTACTGTCTCCACCGAGCTGACAGCTTGGCTGTGTCAATAGTAAACGAAGCCCCGCACCCTCTGTCTCACCTCCCCACTCCTCCCTTTTATCATCTTCTGCTCTCTCTCTCTCTGTATAACTTTCTCCTCTCCCTCTTCTCCCTCTCTTTAATTGGATCTTGTAATTAGTTTCTCTGATGGATCTGGGAGGTCTGAGGCGTCTTCTACAGTTCTCATTAGTGCTCTTGAAGCAGGGTGCAGGCTTTTTAAACGATATGCCTGCTCTGTCCCTCACATGTCATAACACCAGATAATATTCTGCCCATTTTCATCCAGGGTCAGGTTCTCCTACCGAACCACCAAAGAGTGGGTCTTCGTGAAATATTAAGACATTTCTCTTCCTTCTTTTTAATTAAGATAGTTTTAATCATCATTTATCTTTGTTACATCTTCAGGTTGACATCCTTCTCAGCTGGGACACACAGACCCAGGGTGTTTTTGTTTTTTGTTTTTTTGCATCTGGTAATTCATATATTGTTTTGACAAAGGCACAGCTAGACAGTGTTCGACTGCAGGTAGCCATCAGAGAGAGAGAGAGAGAGAGAGAGAGAGAGAGAGAGAGAGAGAGAGCTGATGACTGACCCTAACCACAGACCAACACCAAACCAGTGATGAGAACCAGTTTCTCTCAGTTAGTCTTCATTATTTAGGCTGTGATTTGTCCCAAAAAGGCGTCAAAGTAAAATGACAGGCCCACCTCACACATGCAAACATGAAATGTTTAAATGTACAAACCTATAACACACAACCTCCCTTCTTTCTTCCCCCAGCACCCCAACACTGTTTCCCCCTTTTCCTCCCCACCCTCCACTGGCCAGGCTACATTACACATCTCTCCCTAATCAGCAGCCTTGTCTCGCTCAGGCTGGTTGCCATAGTAATATGCCGGCTGGTCGACATGGCAACCACTCCTCGGTCCACTATTAAATGAAGGATAGAGGAGGGAGGGGATGAGGAGGGAGGGGAGGAGAGGAGAGGGCGAATCAAGTTGGAATAAGAGAGACAGTGAGAGAGAGGGAGAGAGAGAAAGAGAAAGAGAGAGAGAGAGAGGGATGGGGGAACAGAAGAATGTGAAAGACAGGCAGAGACGGAGAGATTGTCCAAGATGGGGTGGGGTGCAGTGAGGGTGGATGGCATATAAAAATGACTTCAAGAAGGGTGAGGGGAAAGGGGGGGGGGGGCAAAGAAGATGAAAAAAAAAAAAAAAAACCTTGGCAGTACTACCTATTGTACTGTGCCTATTAAAAGCTTCTGATACATGTCACAGCCTCGCCATTAGCCCGAATGCATGACGTCATTTTACTTAATGTCCTGAATGTATAAATGTATAGACATGAAAAATGCATGTGCAGTATGTCCCATTCTGGATGAAGGACCAGGAAATAAAATTAGCTTTGAAAAGCTTTACTTAGGTTTTTTTTTTTTTTTGTAAATTGGACACATCTTACAAAATCACGTCAGTACGAGTTTTGTTAATGCAGAATTACAGTTTTGTGGATGTGTATTCTTTCTAGTCAAGGGTGGAAACCCAGCACTGTTGCCTCACTCCCTCCATGGTGCCACCAACATACTGTATCTCCATCTTTCACCTCTGTCCTGGTCCGTCCTGCCATTAACCCAGCCTCTCCTGCTTCTATTTGACTGGATCCCTTCTCCTACCCCTGCCCGAATATCGGATTCTTTAATGAATGAAATGCCGTTCCGTCCAGATGCCACCGCAGTCACACTGACACAACATATCATTTATGCCTTGTGTGTAAGATTCCTTTATGAATTGGAGCCCAGTCTGTTTCCCCCGCAGCAGCTCTATGAAAGATAACTAATTGCATGTCCACATTGTGCCATCAGACACTGCGCGCCTCGTGCACCATTCAGAGGCAATTAAAGGCAGCTCAGATAGGGGAAGAAAGTGCGTCATCCTCCTTAATGCAATCAAGGAAGTGTGCACTCAAAAATACAATAATGTTCCAAAACACAAGAAGCCAAAACAGAGGAACATTTAAAAGGGCAGGCGAAAACACTGCCATTCTATCAGACACTGTGAGTTCAATCTGCCTGTTAGACCACATAATGAACTTGATTCATCCATGTTTAGCGTCACAATCAAGACACTTAAAGTTAAAGACGCGACATGGCCTCAAAAGTTTTGTGTTGATCACATTCTATTCATTTACTTATTTATTTTTTTACAAGGCATCTTTTTGTTTGTCTGATTTTAAGGACAGACAAGTTTTTAACCTTTACTTCCATTCTGAAAATCCCAAAGAAAATTAATTGGTCATGCTTTTGTACTTAAGCCAGAGCTTCTAATATACTATAAAGTATGAACACAGCACCATGCTGCACCACAGGAACCACAGTAAAGAGTTGGACTTTATTATTTATATTTCAAAGTTTCACCTTTTCATTTCTTTTTTAATTATCTATCAATCTTTTTTTAAATAAAAGAGTCTTAAAGATAGTACAAAAACTGAGCTAAAGCTAGATAAAATAAACTGAGCTAAAAATCAGCTACACAAAATCAACGCTGCTTGGTCTAACTTTTACTTTAATGTGAATTTATGTAATGTAAATGTCATGAACGCACAAGTACAGTTAAGACACAGGCCAACAACGGCAGTAACTAAGAGGAAGCACACTTTGCTATGTTTTTGCTAGCCCATATAAGGCTGCGTAATTATTATTGATCAGCTGATCATAGTGTATTAGTGACCAGCAGATTATCTCCACATTCTCCTCCTGTTTATTGACCAGCAAAGCAGAATCTAGAGAAAGATATCCAGCACCACAGTCACCACAATTAGAAATGTACCATTGATTTGACAAAACTAAGATTTCAATGAATCAAATGTATTTCTTTTTTTAAGATTAAAATATCTTCCAAATTGATACAAATAAATAAAAATGTTGATCAGTAGTAGGTTGGACACTAATGAAATTTTCCGGCTCTAACTTAACTAAAGTATTATTTTTGAATATTCTTGCTGTACACCAGACTTACTGGACAACCTTCAGTGGTCACCACTGACCTGAGCTCCTCTCTATAACACATCAGACAGACCAGTCCAAACCCTCAAGGTTTTTGTCATTTGTGTGAATGATACTTTAGCTTGCCTTACTTAAATTAAATAAAAAAAAAAACAATTTCACAGTGACCTTTAAAAAAAGGCCAACATAATCTGTTAGCAGTTATTCCACTCCATGGCTACTTGAACCAACACAAATAAGACCTTTGTTACATGTTTTATAATGGCCACTCTTTTTACCTGGGAGGTATTTTTCAAATGGCCAAGCAACAATGATCTACCTTCATTGATAAAATTAAATATATGTTTACTTATGTCATTTAAATATAATTTATATTTATATGGTATTTTGCTTGAATGCATGGAACTGTATGGGACGATATGATTCAATATGGTGACTAATTTAGTCTTAGAGATTTTATCTAAAGAAAACATCATCAAACTACATTTGTTTCAGTTCAGACCCAGTAAATTGAATGAAACTTGTGCACAGACGTGACATGAAGCTTCCTCTTACGCGATACAATATCACAGTAGTGTTTTGTCGCAGAGGCCGACCGTCTTCAGCCGTCGTGACCTCATCATGTCAGACCACAGAGCATGAGACTCGTGCCTTTTAAGCCTTTTAAATTCCTGGAATATTAAATAATAAAAAATTAAAAAAGGAAAGCCAAATAGGTCAAACGTCAAATCGATCGATTTCTTTTGTTTTTAATTGTTAACCATTTGAACGCAGAGTGAAAACGTCTGAGAGACACAGTTTCACATGAATAGCTGGGCTCTCCTGATTCAGTGAGAAGATAAACCCACTCTTAACAACAAGCCACCGCTGTCTGTCTCGGTCGGACAACAGATATCTGTTCTCTGAAGATGCATGGCAGGCCAGCGGCCCCTCTGCCCCCGGGGATCTCTGGGTTTTTTTATAGCGTTAGGAAAAAGTCCGACTTTCACCTCTGTGTTCAAAGAGGAGCATCTATACATTACGGTTTAGGTGGGTCCACACATGCATACTTCATCTCACACTTCCTTCCAGGAGCAACAATTCCTCACGAGGAGCTAAACCATATTTATGTCCTTGTAATATCTGAGTAATGTGTTGTTCAGCTGTAGGTAATGTCAGACCTTCTCACATAACCTGAAGCCACTGCTGTCTTCATTGTCGTCTTCAATCAATCACCAGAACTGAACTTGAGGAGGTTTGGTGCTGTACGTGCACGGTGTTCTGTGCACGGTGCATGCGCAGTCGGTGTGTGTGTCGACACAAACGGCAGTTGAGTTGAGGAGTTGTTTTTTTTACAGACGTGCAGCGGTGTCATTCTTTAAGTTAGCAGCAGATTTCTGCAGCAGGCTCCACAGAGATGAGGAGGAATAATTCTAGACTAGGTGGAGTCTTTGTCCTGATGGATTAGAACCCAATAGTTCAGGTCTGAACATGAACAGTTTTCTAACTGATCAGAAAACAACTTGGGCCTAATAATCCTCTGATGGTTCCTCCTCACACTTGATGAGTCTTCTATTCATTTGACGATATCTTCTTTTGCTAAGTACATAGAAAATTTATTTTTATTTGCTTTTTAAAAATATTATATATTCACATTGTGGTAAATCTTCCAATAATTATTGTTTTACCAAATGGATTTAAAGCAGAGCTACTAAGGTTTCCTGTTATTAAGTTCAGAAAAGAGACAATTTAATATAAAAACAATTTACTAAAATGGTTAATGTTATTTAATGACCGAAATTAAATATAATTGAGCCTGAATTTTTTTCTTCATAATAACACAATAGTATGGTTTTGTACTGTGTACAAAAAAAAACACTTGATATAATTATTTTTCCTAATATTTGTTGTTAAATATTAATCAGCATTTCATTAACAGAAGCTCAACATCTACCTGTTTTGAAAGCATTTTAAATGTAAGGCTAAAGTAAAATATTATATATACAATATAAGAAATTATGAATGTGTTTACTGCTTTTTTAACTATATGAAACGTAGTATCTTAATCCTTAATTATTACCCTTTAATGAATAATGATAATATATAATGTAAACATATATTAATAGTTAGTGTAAAAATAATAAGACATATTTTATTTTGAATAACTTAAAGAGGGTTTAATATATTCATATTTTCATATTTAAGTTTGGTCCTGGTCCAGGCTACAGAGCTCTGAGAACCTCGAGTGAAAGTCCAAGGTGTTCATGTTATCTTCTCAACCATTTGGAGCTGTATCCAAATGTATCCGTCAGCCACCAAGACAAGAAACGGACCGAAACCACACCCGCGCCAGTATTTACACATGGCCCAGAATGCACCACTTGACTGTAATGGGGACTTCAGCACCTCGGTCCCTCAGCCAGCACAGTCACCATCACAACCAAAGGTAGAGACCAACTACCCTCCAAATCCCTCCCAATTATAAAAGGTCCTTGAGTTGCTGTTTTGCCCCCTCTCCAGTTCCTGCCTGATTACTGAGTGCGGGCCGAGCTGTGCAGGCAATCAACCTCAAAGTGCAGCGCACCAAGAGGACTGGAGGGGGGGAAAAATCAAATTCAAAACATTACAAAAAATAAACTACAGGGAGACTTGTGGACTGCAATTACAGGCCATCCAGCCAGGCCTGTGCTGCAGCACTCAAGACCTGCCATGATTTCCAACAGAAAAGGTTATTAGTTTTTATTGGAGGAAATAGATGTTGGGTGGCTTTAAATGGCGCTGTAATGTAGGGAGGCTGCACGGGGACCTCCTGACCCAGGTCTCCCAAGGGTCCCATTGCACTGCCAAAGGGACACACAGAAAACCATCAGGCGCCTTCTGTCCTTCCCCCAACCGTCAAGCCCTACAGCTCCTAATCCCCTGACCAGAGACCAGGACTCTGGCCTTGAACTTAACCTAGAAACCTCTGGCTTTTTTCCCTCTCCATTATTCCTTTTAAAAGTCATACAAGCAGAGTCAGGCTTCATGTTTAAATTTACTAAGGAATTCATATCCTATACCTTGATCGGAAAAACTCCTCCTCCTCACCTTTTAGGTAATAAAGTCAATGTATTAAAAAAAAAAACAATAATCCAGTAATTCAAAACAATTTGGAGTCAAACTAAAAAATGTATTCACCCCCCATGTTGTCTTTGAATTTTAGATCAGATTTTTTTATATATACACACACACACACACACACACACACTCAGTCAGTCAGTGAGGCACAGGCTGATGGCTCCAACACAGCAGCAGCATCACATTTAAGAAAACATCATCAGAGAGTGTGGCAGTTGCATGTTTGCTGAGCCTGGTGTAATGACTGCCTGCAGATTTCTGTCAGAATCATGTGAGTCCTCAGCTCCGGAAAGACAGAAGCAGACGAGCATGTTTGCCTTTGTGCCGGTCTGTCAGTGTGTGTGTGTGTGTGTGTGTGTGTGTGTGTGTGTGCTCTGCTGCTGTGTGACGTTATTTTAGAATGTGTAAGCTATGATCTGCAGCAGATGAAGTGCCCTCCCTCCAGTGTCCAGTGACAGACAACGATCAGACGTGGAAAAATACTGACACGAGCGTTAATGACTTTCACCGCCATTTGTTGATGATGCAACATCTCACAGGTGTGGAATATGAACCACTGTGATTACCAATGTCTTTCAGAAATACTCCGTGTCAAAATAGATAACGTGTGGGTGTGAGCACGTGCGTGCGTGTGCGTGCGCGTGTGTGTGTGTGTGAGTATATATTAGTCTTTGTTTTGTTTGCTGCCCTCGGTCTCCTCACCTCATCTGTATTCAGGACAGGTAGACTACAGCACGGACACACAGCGCAGTAACTAATGGAGGGGCTGATGGGAGCCTGATGACGAGCACATGGCCATTTGTACACACACACACACACACACACACACACACACACACACAGACACGCACATCCAACTTTCATTTCCAACCACATCTGTCCCCCCCCGTGCAGCTAGCAGCCAGGTAAGTTAATTACATTGACCATTAAATGTTGGGTATTCTTTCTCCTTGGTGCATCAGAGATGGAATTTAATAAATCTGACCATCTTTCTGAATAAGTGAGTAACAATTACAGCACAGGGCATCATCCTCCTCTGCCTCTGCTGCTGTTGCCGTTGCTGCTGTGAGGATCCCAGCCTTTAATTGCCTTGACTGAAAACTTTTCCAGCAAACCACTGCCCCTCTTAGTTGATTGCTAGGAAGTGCAGGGAATTAGATGATTAATGTCACACCGGGGCGGCTGCATTAAAGTGGCACACACCCAGACACACACTCACTCTGTGTGTGTGTGAGCAGCTTTGAATACATGATGTGCACAAGACTTTTTATACATGTAGTTTCACACTGTATATCTCACTGTACGGTCTCCTCTGACCTACAAACACAAGTTTGAAAATATATGCAAATATTCCAATTCAAATTATTTTTTAATCTATTTGCATCATTTTAATTACTTTCTTTTTTTAGTAAATATATTTTAAAATATATATAAAATTAAGTGATGTTGAAGTTTTTCAAATAGTCCCTGATTCAAACAACTCAGTGCTGTGAGGTGATGCACATTCAGCAGCAGCTTCCACTGTGGGCTCTGCCCAGAGAAGTTTCCCTTCTTTTTATTTATTTATTTTTTTTAAATGATTTTGCAAATTTCTGTGGTGAGTCACTACTCATCCTGCTAAGCTGAACCTCTTTTACTCTGAAGTCTCCTGAATCCAGTACACCTGATAAATGCAGAACTGTCCATGATGTTTGGTGTATAATATTATTTTGTCTTATTTCTCCTGTTCAGGGAGTTTTTCTAATATTCTGTTAAAAAAATAAAGACAAGATCTGTCACTGTAAACAATATTTCTGGGCTGTTTTAGTTCAATAATAAAAGGTTCAAGTCAATTAAATCAAATCAAACTTGTTTTCTCTTTCTCTTCTCATCCCTTTATCGTTTTCCTTCTTTCCCTTTTCCTTTTCTTTCTTGTGTGTTTCTTTTCCTCTTCCTCCTCCACCTCCCCCTCCTCCTCCTCCTCCTGTGCTGATCTTGGGCCAAAAACCTGACAGCCACTGACCTAGGAGCCTCCAAAGCTCTCAGGGAGAAAGGTAATGGGTCCAACCCCGGAACGCACTCTCATTCTCGGCACACATGGGGCTGCTGGCTGCTTTGATCCAGTAGCCCCTGCTCGGGTCTCTTGACGCCTGGTGAGGAAATTCAGAGGAACAACTGGAAGAGGCCTGTGTTTATTCAGCTCCTTTAATGAGGAGGGAGACGGATTATCGGGGGCCAAGATCTCCCCCCAAAAAAAAACACGAGGAAAGAAAACTGCTGTTCCTTCCAGATGTTGTTCTATCATCGGTCACTCCAAAGGAATCCAAGAGAGAGAGAGAGAGAGAGAGAGAGGGAGAGAGAGAGAGAGAGAGAGCACTAGCGGTCAGTGGGAGAATTTCCCAGTCCTGTCTCTGTTCTTCTGTCTGGCCAGATGTGGGAGCTGGCCAGCGCTCCGTGTGTAAAACCAGAGGAGAGCAGCTGAGCTCAGGGAGCTCACAGACATGTGTTATTTATTTTTGTTTATCCCTTTTTCTTTTGTGCCGGGTGACGGGGTGTAGTTGCTCCGGTGCTTATGAACTACCTTTGCTTTGAGCAAATTGTGCAGTCTAAAAAGGAAACATAATGGTTTCATAATCTCCCTTATTTAAAAAGAAAAATGTCACAGACCATTTTGAGTTTTTACCAAAAACAAAAACCAAGCAAACGCTGAAGCTCGTCAGCAGAAGCAGAAGCAGAAGCAGAAGCCTGGTCTGTACCTGTACTGCGACACATAACCATACATTGATGGATGCAGAAAAAAAACAAAACAAAGGGAGTGCAGTCGTATTAACACCTCTACCTCTACCTGCAGACACAAAGCAGACGCTGCCCGAGTGTCAAACTCTTGACCCTTGGCGCGAGACGGCTGCCCAAATCAATATGTCTCTCCATTGTCAAACCATTTAGGAGAGGATTACAGGTCAGATACTGGTCACAGTTCCTCACACACAGAGGGCAAAGGTCGGTCCGTCCGGCACATTTACATGTGATTTCCATGAATCAGATCCTGAGATGATTACAAAAAAGATCCTCTGGGTCTATTTACACTCTATGTCTGTTTGTCTGTCTGACTGTGTATCTGTCTGTTTGTCTGTCTGTCTGCCTGTCCATCTGTCCATCTATTTTATGTACAAACACACACAACCAGACCACACACACCCTTTTTTTAAACATGTAAAAAGCAGGAATATTTGCATTTTTCTGATTTAAAATACTGGTAAAAAAACAAGTTTTAAATTTAATTCATATATATATATAATGTATAATATTATTAGGTCTATTTCACTATTACCATGTGATATAAAAACTCAACTTTCCAGATAAATCTGTAGTTTGACGACTTATTATTATTATTTTTCGACAGACTAAATTTTAAAATCCACTGGGTCGGGTCTATTTCACTTTACTCTAATTTTTTAACTGTGAATTTTGGTGGCAGAGTATATATCAACTGATATTATTTGTTATTTCCTCCCTTTTTTGATGTGCTCGACATTGTTAAATACGGAGCAGATCTGGACTGCAGGCAGGCCAGTCAGGCTCATGAGCACAGGTCTTTACACACCATCAAGAAACAACGGATGTTGGCTTCTCAGAGACATTGTTTGATGCTGTGGATTTTCTGAAGTAACTTTACTCCGTGGTGGCAGCAGGACATTGTCTACTTCAGTCTAGTCCACAGATCAGTCCATGTTCATTTAGCAGCAGCTTCCTTTGGACTTCATATTTGTTTTTAACTCACAGGCCTACAATCCTACTGTGCTGCCCCAACATTGTTTTGTTTTTGTTTTGTTTTTTTTATTCTTACACAATTATTAAAAAGAAATCTATATATTCTAATCTAATATAGGAAACAGCACATTTTGTTTAGCTTTGGGTGTGATTTTAATAGAGTTTATGGAATAACTATTAAATTGAATTTGTACTAATTACAAAATAGATGTGTCTTAATACGTGTGGCAAAAAATATTATTTAAAAAATGGGGATGAATACATTTTCTCCAAATATCGTAGCATCAATTGGGTTAAAATACAATAAAATACAATCTTTGATCACATGGAAATGCACATGGCTCAGATTTGCATGGAAAACAAGTTAGGAGACAGAAACGTACCTGGTGTGGAGGAGGTGAGTCTTCCTCTCACAGTCCTGTAGAAACAGAGAAACAGATGATTGTTTTCAATATGACAACAGTGTGTCTGTTAGAAACACAGGTGGACAACCAGCATCTAATTACTATTCATAACCTTCTGCCGACATCCTTCTTACTGACCAATAATATCTGCCCCAGGGCTGTGCTAAGATTGCAACAACCCTCTTATGTATGAATGAATAAAACCTGAATAAACTGCTAAATCAAAGATGGTCATTATCCACTGTATTGTTATTCTGCACTTATTTCTCTCTCTCTCTTTCTCCTGGGCCATGCTGTTTGTTACGAAGTTATATTACAGCCCAGGGGTAAGAAAAGGACACTGCACAGACACGTCGTGCATAAATCAAGTACAAGGCACCAAAATATCCTCCTTTAAAACAGGACTTGTATATGCAAATCTCAGACTTCTATCTCGGGAACGCAGCACATTCTCGTGTGTGATTATCAGAAGAGAACAGGTTCAGCTCCTCTCTGCTCCCGAGATGTTCTCTGAAATAAAATGCTGCTTTCATTACTCTCTCAATCCACACCAATAAAAAAACTGCACATCTGCACTGATTAATTGCATACAATTCTAAAATCTTTGTTTTTAAAATATATATTCATTTTGCACTGCAAAAAAATAAACCGCAAATTAAATACATTACATTACACTGAGTTAGAAGAAATAATATGATGATGAATATTTTTTTTTTCCAAAACATAAAAACATTGGTAACGCACTTGAAAATGAGGAAGAAACAGGAAACCTGAAATCCATTTGTTGAACATGAACCAAATGAATATTATTTTTTTTCCTGGGAAAAGTTTGAGTAACACTTTTTCATTTGAAATTTTACCGCTCAATTTTCTTTTACATCTCTCTCTGTACAAAGACTCAACTCTGTGATCAACATTTTCTGATTTTCCTCTTCATGACGCATCAGACATCACAGCACCAGGTTTTTATTGTTTGTTTGTTTGTTTTTTTTTGCTGTAGCTTTTCTCCAGAGTTTCTAAATCTTTACCAACATCATAAGTTGTAGATGACGACACTGAAACATTATTTGATAAGAGTGCAGAGAAGAAGTGGTTTTTTTTAATCTCCTAATTGACTTTTAAAGTAAAGCTAACACAGCGAACTATAACACTTTAACCAGCTCCGTTTATGGTCTTCACTCTCTGACTAAATAACAGTTCATCCAGTAATTGTAGAACTCTTGGGGTTTTATTTTTATGACCTTTGAAGTTCAAATTTTCAAACTTTTGTTATTTTATTTCCAAAGGTGTCCACATCCTTATTTGTCTATATGGAAATGCAATAAAATTATTAAGTTTATTATTAAGTTTGAAAAGATCCAAAATAAATGATGTTGAAGATGCATTGAAATATTACTAAAATTATTTTTTAATTTTATGTACAAATTTCTATTAATTATTCATGGGTTTTTTTTATTTCGAGTCGATGTCAAAATAAAATAATGACAAACAATGAATAATAAATATCTTTTGGAAATTATAGCTTTGATATATTATGTTATGCCAAAAATTGCTTTTTCAATAAAAGACGTAAAAATCTTTCATTTTTTTGTTCATGAAAGACTAAAAAAATCACCTAAAGCCAAAGGTGCTGCCAGTGATCTGGATTTATTCTCCAAAGTGCAGTAATATGATTAGTATTAGGGTAAAACATATAGTGTTTCTGTCCAGTGTACTGTGATGACACTACATTCCCCATCAGCCTGTAACCCCTGCTCTCAGATGAGGTAAAAGAATCCATTCCACTGACTCCAGGTCAGTACACGAGCTTGTACTTTTGGACGGCTGCTGCCAATTGTCTCTGCACTTTAATAAACAGGCCACGGGTCAGGCAGATTTATGGGCCCACGGTGGGGTGTAGGGACCCAACTCCCCTGGCCTGCAGCTCTCCCCTCCACCCCCCGCACGCCATTACGCCAGAGTGAGATATAGTGGGATATTGATCCCAGTGCCACTTCATTTCGCAATAACTATTACACAATATTCTCCCAGGCTGCGTGTGGCCTCTGATTTATGCAGCCGTGCTATTTACATTAGCAGTAAGTGTTTTTCTATACCAGCCGAGGAGAGACTTTCAGCCACACAGACGGACATGTGAGCATTCACATTCCAAACCACACCTGTCTTTTTGCTGCCTCTCACGTCTTTTCAGGGTAAAGAAGTGCCTAACACACTGCTGCACAGTAACAGGAAATACATACGTAAACGCACAAAAGAATACATCCTCGTCCTTATTACAGCTGTGTGAGTCTGTCCTTGAGGCTATGTTGTATTTAAGGCACCTGCTCCATCGCTTACTGTTTGCAATCATGTTACATTGAAGGAGATGATGTTGAAGTGTTGCATATCATTTAATGTCTGATGACTGGTGAGGGAAATACAAGGCCGATATAAAAATAAGCCCAGACACTGAAATATTACACAGGTTTAATAGGCTTTAATTCAGTGAAATTGCGGACGCTCTAATGTAATGTCTACAAATACTGCTGACAGACGGTATATGAGTCTACAAAAACTAAAACTACACAGTGAGGAAAAGTTAGACAGGTTTAATGGAGACTTTAAAGATGTGGAATGATAGTACTTCCCTCAATAAAATGCTGATTAAAATCAGGAAATGATTGCACAATTTAGTTAAAAGTTAAAATAAATCATAAGAACATTTTAGTTGCAGATTTGGGCTTTTCTTGTATTTGGTTAATTGTTAATAAGAAAAATGACATTAAGCTTCTATTGCAACCGGTTCTGCTCTGATCCTGATGCGAATCATCATCAGTTTCTGCCGATCCTTCATTTTCATTAACTGCACGTCTCAGAGTTGGATTTGTGCCAAAGTGGCTTCCCTCTCGGTGCCAGGCTGGTTCTAAGTGTTTGTTTACACTCACAAAGCAGTTGTTTCCTTGGCAGAGCAGGGAAGTGAACAGTGAGGACGGCTGGGAGAAAACTGCTCCCACAGGTGGCACTGTGCCTCAGATGCTCCCACTGCTACAATGTGACAAGGCAGAAAACAAAAGGAGCAAATGATCCTTAATTGCTCTGAAGCTGTTTAACATCAGATGAGTATCAGCCTGAGCTGCCGTATGTAAATCAAGTCCCCCTTGTCGTCCCCTCTTCCCAGTTTAACCCCCTAAGCTCCCTCCCCTGGCACAATCAAGTCTTTTCCTCATGGGGTGGAGTGGGGGGGTGGGGGGGGCAGCTGAGTGGGCCCGCTGCCAAGTGAGGGGAGCTGGCAAGCGTGGTAATGTGGAGACACTTGATGC